CCTACGAATTAGCCTTAAGTCTTCAACACTCTCCTCTTCCTTCTTAGGAGAAAAACGACCTATTGTGAACAATGGTTCCTCCAATTCTTGATCAGAGCTTTCAGAGGGTCGCATAGAGGCTTTCGCACTCTTGAAATCCTCTGAATCACCCGATTCAGTTTCAGATTCAGACTCAGAACCTTCATCAGTGGGTGTGGGCTGTTGTGGTTGCTTTGACTATCCTCAGTCTCATCACCGTCATCAGGATAACATTGGAAAATTCCCACATTCTCCCCACTTTGCATTGTACTCAACACTTCTCGTGAGCTTAATTGTCTTAGAGTCAGTCATCATTATTCTGTAAGACCCTTTCTGATAACCTAGAAAGATACCATGCAATCCACGCTTGTCTAACTTGGAGTTTTGTGGTGAGCGAACCCACATGTCAGAACCAAAAATCTTCATGTGTTTGATGTATGGCTTCTTGCCAAACATCTTCTCATAGAAGTACAACCAATCGCTGAAGATAACTTGCGATTGTAACTGTAAACAAAACACGAGAGAGATTCGGCCCAATAACTCTCTGGAAGATTGGCATCATGCAGCAAGGTTTTTAATCCTTGAAGCAATGTCTGATTTGCCCGTTCCGCAAGTCCATTTTGCCATGGCGAGCGAGGACTAGACAAATCGTGTTGAATTCCTTTCTCAGTCAGAAAAGCTTCAAACTGCTGAGAAGTGAATTCCCCCCCGCGATCACTGAAAAGAGTCTTTATCTTCTTACCATGCACATTTTCCAACCAAGCACAGAATTCCTTGAACCTAGGAAAAGCCTCCGATTTCTGCTTGAGATTGTACACAAAAATATATCTAGAAAATGCATCAATGAGAACCATGAAGTATCTATTCCCACCCAAAGAGGGCGCTAGTGGTCCAACCAAATCAGCATGAACAACCTGGTATGGTTCTGTAGCTGTCCTACTAGACACCTTACCTTTCGCAGCCATTTTCACCTTATTTGCTGCGCATGCTTTGCACTTCATGTGGTACCTGCAGGGTTTAATAGTCATACCTTCAACCAAGGCAGGCATTTTAGATACTGCCTCAAAATGCAAATGACCAAATTTTCGATGAAAATCGTGAATACATTCTGCATGCAAACTTTTGTTAGAACCTGCAATGCAACAAGTGTCATCCTGCACCACATCATCATAATACAAAACAAACAAACGATCAACATATTCTGCATGCAATACATAATCATTTTTCTTTGTGATGATGCACTTCTTGTTCTTGAAGGAAACGTCAATGTTCCGCTCATTCAGCTGTCCAACGCTGAGCAGATTATGTTTGGCGTCTGGCACATAAAGCACATTCTGTATCGATAAGTCCAAACTGTGAAGAACAACAGTTCCGTAGCCTTTACTGGGAATAGTGTGGTCATCCGCCTGGTGAATCGCACCTTCCTGCGGTGTAAAAGACACAAACAGTCTCTTATCGTTGCACATGTGGTGGGTGGCCGCTGAATCAACAACGAAGAAAGATCTAGACGTCTTCTGGACCTCTGCAACCTTTGGAGTGAAGCGTGAAACCATAGCCTTGTGCTGCGTTGTCCTAGACACCGGACCTTTGCCTTTGCCTCGGCCTTTTCCGCGCGATGAGCTTTCGCTGCGCTGCTCTGTCTTGGCCCTGGGATGTCTGCATTCCCTCTTCATATGGCCTAGACGTCCACACGAGTAGCATTTCACTGCCTTCAAAGCTTTGGCGCCATCTGGTGGTTCCACTGCACTATGGGATGACGTCTGTGAAGACTCCCCTTGCCCATGCAGCTAGCACCCGGCGATCTGCTTCATTTAAAATCACGGCAGTAACAAAGTCCACTGTCAGCTGAGCAGTTGGTTGCACAGCAATCTGGGTTGCAACAGACTCCCAACCTGAACCCAAAGATTGTAGTATCATGAAAGAATACACAGCCTCTGGAAAGTTGAGTCCTCTCTGTTGCAGCTCATGTCTCAGATTTTGCATCTCCATCAAATGTAAACGCACATCTCCACCTTCAGCAAGAGCCATATTATGCAGCTTGTTAAATTAATACATAGTGGATCCAGCTTCTGTCCTTAAGTGAGCCTCTCTCAGAGCGTCCCAAATTTCTCTGGCTGAGGTCTTATCACGCAATAGACAGAGCTCTTCTGGGGATACTATCAATGTAAGAGTTCCCCTTGCTTTGGAATCCTTAGCTTCCCATGCATCTGTAACTGGAACTGGGGGGGTTCCTGTAATCACCTCAAACAAACCCTCTTTCCGCAGAATTGCCTCTGCATACTGAACCCAGTCGCTGTAATTTTTCTTGTTGAGCTTAGGAATCCCACAAGCATCCTGAAGGGCCATCATGACTCTGGCATTAGCCTTCAGCGTCATATGCTGCTTTAAATCTTGCTGCGTCACTGCTGCAGCTGCTTTATTACAAAGGCACACTTAAAAGTTACTTTCGATTTCCCCAGCATAGTGACTTGTGCCTGGGAGCCTTTTGCCTATTCCCGGCAAAACCGGCTTTAAAAGTTCAAAGTCCAGCCATAAAGCCATTAACTTGAAGCTGGCAGGCTGCCCGGAGCAGTAGCACATACCTCATCAATCACTTCTACGCGCAGAGCAGATTCCATTCCGATCCGTCCCTCTGCATTCCGATCCTTTGCCGGCACTCCGATTCGACCTCTGGGCCCATAACCACGTGTTGATTTAAGGCAGAGCCTGGTGCCCAGCGGAAGGATGAGTAATACGTGCTACATACTCTATATTGCTTTATTTACAGTTCAAAGCTGATATATTACAGAAAGACATCTTGCCTCTGCAGGAGCAGAAAATGCATCCTCTCTCCTCGACAGCTCGGAGAGAATCACAGAGTGAAAAACAGGAAACCAGTGTACGTCACATCCAGTCTCCCTTTCCCGTGAGAAACTCCAACAGTACAGACTGTGGAATGTAAACACCTGTCTCATGACAAACAGAGCTGCACAGTGAAGGAAAGCAGAAACCAACAGATTGCAGGTAGAACATTCTACAAAGGGCCTGTAGAGCAAGCAACGGCAGGTAACCTTTGCAAATGAAGAAATCAATATTGACTTCATTTCAGTATTTACAAAGAAAGGAAGCAGGGATGAGACATCAATCAGCGCTGACATAACCAAGGCAAGAAAAGGGACCAAGGGTGACAAAGAAGAATTCCAGAAAATACTTGAGCAATTTGAACAAATTTAAGTCAATGGAGCTCCAATAACATTTTCCTAAGGATTGGTAATGAGTTCACTTGGCAAATCTCAAAACTATTACACCGCCTTATGTGCAACCAGGTCCATCAGTCAACTTTGTGGTTTTTTTAAAAAAAGCTTTGTCTGGAGATCAGTCAACCAATTTGCACCCTCAATATATTGTCCAAAAGCTGCCACACGGAGAAGGATTAATTCCTCATGGGCTGCCCAGAGAAATCGAAATTCAGCTTCTAAGGTCTGAAATTGCACTCAGCAACGTGGTTCAAGGCAAACTACCTACCTGTCTCTCCTGCAAACATACACATCAGGGAGATGACAAGCTAAGCCAGTGGCAGCCATTAGGCCCATGAAACTCCTACTGATACAGCTTCATGCTGCAATGACATCAACGTAAAATATAAACGCAAATAAACAGTGTGGTGTAGAGAGCCATTGTGGTGTAGTGCCAGTGTGGTGGTGAAAGTTTTTCACTAAGACCTGGAAGAACAGGGTTCTAGTCCCCTGCTCAGCCACAAAGCTCACTAGCTAACTTTGGGCTTGTCTCTCAGCCTAACCTACCTCACAGAATTGCGAGGATGCAGTGGCAAGAGGGAAAATCAGGTACATTTTAAAGATGTAATAAATATGAATACAAAATAACAGAGAAGAGAGAGGTAGATATGGGGAGGGAACAAAATAAATATGAGGGGACCATTAAGGGGGTGGTTAGATAACAGGCTGTCATGCTGACAAGCCTATTCTTTTTGAAAATTAATGGAAAACTGATCAGGTTCCAGAAAACAGAATAAAAGCAAATATATAGTGCCTATTTTTTACACAAGGACCGCAGGGAATTATCGGACAAGTTCATCTGATTACTTTACCTCAAAGATAGTGCAGCAAATGATAAAGCCACTTATTTGCCAGCATCTAGACAAAAAAGGCATGATTACTAGCAATCAACATGGCTTTGTTGAGAACAGCTTAGTTTTCTTTTTTTGATTAAAAAATGGTTTAGGAGGCAAAGGGAAGGCAGTTGGAGTGCTTCCGTTTCAGCAGGACTTTTCACCTACTCCCACATGGCTTCTCCTAAACTATACAAATGGCTAAAATTTAAACACTTTAGCCTTAATATACACACATCACTAGAAAATAACATAAGTTCAATTGGATCTGTGGGACCTATGTCCAAAAGGGGGTGGGGTGAGATAGTCGGTGCAGATTGGAAAGAAGCAATCAGTGTTTGACATAATAATGAATCGGATGCTAGTTAAATACAAAAACGAACATCATAGTTGCTATTTATCAAACTCATTGATTTCTAACGCAAGTTGTCCGTAAATGTTTTGCAATATAAAGCATATCACACAATGCAGAAACATATAGAAATTAAACAATTTGAAGCACAAAAAAGGTTCCATTCCGATGACATCAGTAAAACAAGTAACAAGTTACAACTACTCTAGTGATAGCCACATAATTCATTCATAAAAATGGAGCCCTCCCAAGAAGCAACCCTCCATCACTCAAATGCCTGGCAGTACAGAAACGTTTTCTCCTGGTTGTTCTTCAGCTGGAGTTGGCATTGGACCAAAATGAAGGTTAACATGGACAAAGGTAAAGTGTTGACATATAAGAGTGAAACAACCTATGCATCAGAACATTTGAACAAAGGAAGCTGCCTTGGACTGAGTCAGACCATTGTCTATACAGCTAAGGACTATGGACACTGGCTGGCAGCAGGTCCCCAGGGTTACAGGCAGAGGTCTTTTCCAGCCCTACCTCAAGATGTCAGGGACTGAACCCTGAGATCTCCTGCATACAAAGCAGATGCTCTACCATTGAGCTATGGCCTTTGCCCTTTCTCATTCAGATTCTCCACCCCATTACCCATACACAATCCAATCAGAATGGCAGTCAAAACTCAGTCGATGGGACAATGTCCTCCACTACAACAAGCAAGTTTAAGGGGTACAAGAGAAGCCATGTTTCATCCACAGTTCCATTCTCCAACATTTCACCACCACTTGCTTGTTGCTCTGCCTGGCACCTATTCGCTCAAGCAAATGCAGTATTACAGTAGTGATGGCACCAGCATGTGTCACATGAGCAGAGCAATGCAGGTGCACATGCAAAGCCTGCTGGAGTTTGTGGGGAGTGTCTGCCTGCTCACTTTGTCCAACGCTTTTTCTGAATGGCATTGTCAGTCATGTGTTGAGTGAAGACAACTAAGCAAGACACCCAACCAGCCCAGGATAACCAAATTCTTAATTATATCCCAGTCAGCCAAGCAGGGGCAGGCAGAGTTTTAACCTTCACCCATTCCCTCTCCCAGAATTCTGATGAAAATTGCCCCCCTTCTGCTGTTAAGCTCAGGAAAAAAATCATTAAAGAGACCTAGACAAACATTTTCTTAGCCGTGGAATATATGCAGTGCCTTTTAGCTAGACTAAATGTGCCCTCAGTTGATTGTAGCACTCTAAATTCTGTGAAAGATGAATATCTGTTTTTTCTTAGTTTTAAATTTATTGGTTAATTATGTTAGCCATGAAAAAAATTCTGTGCAAATTTCAGCTTAGGTCTAGGGCAAGCCATTAGTATGAGCTAATACTTTTTTCTGTTCGCTAAAGACAAATATTTCAATTTAAGGGCATTTAATTTTAAAGACAACTAGCTCATCTGTTTAGCACGGTAATTTTAACCCTTTATTACTTGCATGAGCTGAAATAGCTGTAGTTTTAAACTACACCTTTGTTGCTGCTGAGCCAGAAAATGCCGGGGCAATTCTATACGCACCTGCTCAGAAGTAAGCACCACTAAGTTCAGTGGGGCCTACTCTCAGGTAAGTGGAGCTAGGACTGCAACTTGAAGCTCAGCCTGGAGCTCAACAAAAATTCTGTGTCATTCAGTAAGACTCTTTTGTCAAACAGGACAGAAATCTAAAGTGTTTCTCTGGTTTTTGCCAAGACATGAACACTAATTGCATCTCAGCACAGTCAGAGCTGTGCAAAAGCTTCTAGATGCTGACTTTAAGGCTCTGTGTAATCACTGTGCAAATCTGCAGGGCACAGCTCTGGGAAGTTCCTCAGTCTTATTAGGGGAGAAGGAAGCATATAAAAAATTAACGCCAAGCTGAAACGCCATTTTTTTTTTCTGTACGTTTTCAAGGGAAATTTAGGGGCAATCTTGTCCTGATGATATAAGAGTTCCTCTCAGTGGCTAGCAGCCTCCATCTTTCTCCTCAGAATAGGCCAAACATAGCATTCATTCCAGAGCATTCTGGAGGGAAATGATACCACCACCTTAACACACACACAAAATAGCAGCTGCCAGTGAGGCTTTCCCTTTCCTCCCAGAATACTGTGGAATAACATTTTATCCAGGGCAGTCTGAAGAGAACCCCCCCCCCAAAAAAAACCAGTTTTTGACACCCTACTCCCAAAATTATTAAGGCTGCAGTGGTCATGTGGGATTCACCATAGCATTTCTCCTTGGTTGCACACCAAGGTAATGTGAGATGCTCCAGGCCACGGGGAGAAGCCTGTACTGTAGTTGGTTTCTCACACCAGCATCTGTCCTCTGAAAAGCAGGTCAGGGCTGGCATGTGGAGGAGCTGAATTGCAGGCTCCTCTCACACAGCCTGGGACTTCCTACTATAGAGCAGGAAGAACTGGCCTTATAGGTTTTTGTACCACAATTTTTGTACCATAAGAACCCACTCATCCATTTCATCAGCACTTCAGCATCAATGTGGCTTGTTTATTTTTATTAATTTGAGGCAGGCTCAGGGTGTTTGGTCTCACTTAAAACTTGAATGTTGTTTACACAGGCCAACATATTCATTCCATCAAAAGCCCTATCAAAGTATTTGTCAGAAAACCTGCCAGAAGATCTACTGTGCCAAAGATATACGAGTCCAAAAAGGAAAAATAAAGTTCCAAATTCCAATGTGGCACTGTAGAAGTTAGCATTCCTGTCAAGCCCCTGGCATGAAATAACATAATGCCTTGTGACAAGATGCAAGAAAACACACAGTGAATAGATAATGAATCTTTCAGACACAGAATATTCTCAGGCCAAATATCGTCTGCCTCTGTAACCAGTCCAAACACAAGACAATTAACCAAACTGAAATGAATATTAACACGCGTGCAGGATGCAAATACTGGCAGCTTTTCAAGTGGATAATTATGTTGCATTTAGCATAAGATGTAAACAAAGGAAGTAAGAGTAATTATGCAGAATATATGCATGTGCGTTGTGTATGTGTGTTTGGCCTTTTTGTGACAGTATCCACTGTTGCTGCCCATGGCAGCCATTGACATTGGCATTTCTATCAATATACAAGTACCAGCATGTCTCATATATACTGCTTTTTTGAGAAGAAAATAATGTAGCATAAAAGGGACTTCAATTTCCAGCTTCACTGTTGTCTCTCTTACACCCTCACAACAGACTGTAAAGGTGTAGAGAGAGGTGTCTCAATTTTACCAGAACTCAGCAAATCCGCATTGCATTGTGAGCACACCGAGGGATTCATTTCCACAAAAGGCCAGTGTTATTTCTGTATAGAAAACCTTTTCCCGTATAGCAAAGTATCTCTTAATACAAGTACTATTATAGTCATGTTTACCTTTTATAGGAAGGGTGTGGCCCTCCAGGTGTTGTTGGAATTCAACTCCCATCAGCCCCAGTCAACATGGCCAACAGTCAGGGATGATGAGAGTTGTAGTCCAGCAACATCTCGGTGGCCACAGGCTCCCCGTCCTTCAGGGAAGCTGAAAAAGACCACAAAGCCTACTCTTTTTACACTGGGACTGTCCTGTCCGCACCCAGAGCTATACTGCCAGCTATCCTGATGGAAGGCTCTTGATGACTTTGGATATGTTGTTTTTGTTGTTAAAGTGTATTTTAATGTTACCTGTGTGCTGCCTTGGAAGGATTTGGATCCTAAAAGATGAAGTAGAAATAATTGTGATGGTAGCCACCACAGCAATAACAACAGCAACAAGAGCAACAACTTTCCATGTTAAAAACGTGCCCTTCCAAAGCATTTCTTATTTCAGTTTATCTGTTCTTAGTCACTGCCAAAACAACTGTTCTGTCCATTAGGCACCCCTCCGAAGGTTGCCTCAGCAGTTCTCAACATATGCAGAATGAAATCTGTAATAAATATGCACAGATAAGTATTTGCAATGGTTATAGTACAATCTCCAGCAATCCTTGCCTGGTGAGCAGTTTCTCAGAACGGTCCCAAGGCCCCAAAACTGCCACCACACAGAAGCAGTTTCTGCTTCCTGTGGTGTTGGTCTTCAAACGGCACAAGGAGTCACATGCAGATCATCAGATGGATCAGAGGGTTTGCAGTGACATAGTTTGGCAGGAGGAGTACCCCCACATCACACTGCAAACATCAATGGTTCACTGTATACAGACTGGCACCAAGAGCAGCAATTTAAAGTAGTTACCACAAAGTAGCTATTTTGTTGGCCTTTGACGCATAGGCCTTTCTACTAGAACTGACTCTCTGGGTGGAGGCAGGCCAGGTAAGCTGGTGGAGACTTGTGGACTTTACTGGGCTTTATATTATATAAGTCTAATTGGATTTAAATTACATTTTAATTAAAAATCATTGCTCATCTTCATGCCTTCAGGAGAGAGCATAAATTCAAATACAAGAAGAAATGTAGAGCCTATTTTACAGACAGTTGGCATTTTAGTTTCACACAGCTTGGTTTAATGGAAAAGGTACTGAATTACACCAAAAACCTGGTTCTGGAGCTCACTTTACCATTCTGCCTTAGAACCATGTAAGAGACAATTAATGCCTTCCTTAAAGGTTGTAGAGTAACATTTATGGCAATAAATGTGACTACTTGGTGTTCAATAATAAGTAATTACAAATGGCTTCCAAGTGGGACCCAAATTCCTTCTACTCTAGCATTCTACACGGCAGCCAGTCAAATCCCTCTAAAAGATCGCAAGGAGTGGAGGGAACATAGAGGTTCCATTCAGTCTAATAGCTCCATCATCACTAAATTGACTAAATCTGTTTTTAAAACCAAACAAGCAAGTCCAATGGTAATTTATTAGTTATGCATTGGGACACCATTCCACTAGAGCTGACAGTCAGTCAAGAGCAAGCACATCATGTCTTGCTTTTGATTAATTGTGAGGGGTGGAGAGGTGAACTGACATCCTTCTGCCAGGTGAAATCAAGAAACATGAAGCAGAGAGTTCTAAGGGGAGTTTAGGACTTCCTTGACAACAGTTATTGACTCTCACATTCCCTGACCCTCATCCCCTGGCCCACATTATACCAAGTCAGATTTCCCGAAGCTGGTGCCCTGCTGCTGATTTGGACTACAGCTCCCATCACCCCTGGCTGTTGGTCATGCTAGCTGGGGTTGATGGGAATTGTAGTCCAACAGCATCTGGAGGGCACCAAGGTGTTGTTGCTGTTGTTTAGTCGTCTTAGTCGTGTTTGACTCTCCGTAACCCCATGAACCAGAGCATGCCTTGGAAACTCTCACTTTTTTTCCAAAGCTTCTCCTTTTTATGTCCATGGAGTTTTCTTGGCAAAATACTGGAGTGGATTTCCAGTTCCTGGTTCAATCAAAGTCAAATTTCCATACCCTCTTTCCCCCCTCCCTTTCATGATACTGGCTAAGGCTCATCATAATGTATTTCCTGAAGCATAGTGAGCATACTCAGCCCTCGTTGACTGGTTTGGTTCCTCCCCTTACCTTAAAGAACTTAAAAGAACTAAATTTTTTGGCATACTTTTCTAAGTATTTGGAAACCACTGCCTTGTCTTTGAGTGGCTCTGTTTCACTGTCCATTTAACAGGCAC